TAATCATTGAATATATTTTTACTGTTATTTTTTGGAACAAAATGTTATTTGCTAGATCAACTAAGAATAAGAACTTATTTTGCCTTCATTTATTCTTTCTACAGCACTGTTCATTTTACTGTGTAGATTCAAGATTCTAACTCATAGTATTTTTCTATGCTCTGAAAAACTTCTTTTAACATTCCTTGCAAGGCAAGTCTATTGGCAACACATTTCCTCAATTTTATTTCTCCTTCACTTTTGAAGGATAATTTTGCAGGATACAGAATTCCAGGTTGGTGTGTTATTTTTTCTTTCAACAATTTAAATATTTCACTCCACTCTCTTCTTGCCTGCATGATCCCTGAAGAGAAGTCCAGTGTAATTTTTATCCTTCTCTATAGGTAAGGTATTTTTCACCATTTCCCTCTACTCCCTACCCCCATCTGGCTTCTTTCAAAATTCTCTGTCTTTCATTTTCTGCAGTTTGAATAGGGTATATTTATGAGTCTTTTATTTGGGGGGCACGATATTTATCCTCCTTGGTGTTCTCAGAGCTTCCTGGATCTGTGGTTGGTTTGGTGTCTGGCATTAATTTTGGAAAATTGTCAGCCATCATTTCTTCAAATATTTCTTATGTTCCTCTCTTTCCTCCCTTTCTGGTATTCCCTTTACAGTTTTATAATTGTCCCACATTTCCTGGATATTCTGTTGCATCGTTTTTATTAATTTTTTTCTTTGCACTTTAGTTCTAGAAATTTTTATTATCTTCAGGATCATTCATTCTTTCCTCGGCTGTGTCCAATCTATTGACGAGCCCATCAAAAGCATTCTTCATTTCTGTTACATTGATTTTCATTTCTAACATTTTCTTCTAATTCTTCCTTAGAGTTTCCATATGTCTGCTTATATTACTCATCTGTTCTTGCATGTTGTTCACTTTTTGCATTAGAGCCCTTAGCATAATAATCGTTACTTTAAATTTAGATGTGATAATTCCAAAATATCTGCCATATCCAAGTCTGGTTCTGATGTTTGGTTTATCCTTCCAGAATGTGTGTGTGTGTGTGTGTGTGTGTGTGTGTGTGTGTGTTTTAGCATGTCTTGTAATTTTTTTGTTGAAAGGCAAATATATCAGGGAAAAGGAACTTACGCAGATAGGCCTTTATAATATAAAATTTTAAATGTATCTGACTAGGAGTTAGGCTGTGTTATTGTTTGCCACAGCTGTGGTGTCTGAAACTAAAGTTTACTCTAGTGTCCTTGTTTTTGTTTCTCTTGTCTTTGGATGTCCCCAGTGACTCTTTAAATAGGGTCTGATGCTTGCAGTTCTTTTAGCTATAATCCCCTGTTATTACACAAAAACCCTACTTCTGTGGTGTTATGGTAAGGTGTGGGAGGAGGGAAAGAATTCTATGGTCCTATGATTAGGTCTTATTCTTGAGCCGGAGTTGTTTACCTCCTCCCATGTTGAAGGCTAGAGAGGGTTGGAATTGGGTGTTTCCCTTCCTCTCTGATAAAACAGTTTCCCTTGAGATCTTATAAAGAATAGATGGCTCTGGGAGTATTTCAAAAGGGTTAGTTTTCCCCTCCTCCTAAAAAAAGAGGAGTTTTTTGTTTTTTTGTTTTTGCTCAGATTTCCACAGTGAGACTCTGTTACAGTTCCTAGAGGTAAAATTCAGAAAATTTGTGGGGCCTCTCTAAGGCTGAGCCCCCTTGCAATTTTTAACACAGGCTGGCCCACACAGAGCCTCCAGCCATTCCTCAATTACAGTTAAAAGTGTTCCAACTGATACCGGCTCCCTTCAATTACAGTTTAAAGTGATGTTGGCTTCAGCTGCTGACTTTCACTCCTGGTAAATTGTGATCCTCTGGTAAACTGCGACTCTCCATCTCTCCAGTTTTCAGGGCAGCAGTTTTCCCTGTCACCACAATGCTCTCTGACGACCTAAGAGGAGTTGTGGGTTTTCAGTTTGTTGAGCTTTTCTTTATTTTTGTGATGATGGAAACTCCCAAACTCTTTACATTTTGGACCAGAAAACAAAAATCCCTTGGTAGTTCTTTGAAAATTTATGCTTAAAGTGTCTGTCATAATTAAAAAGTGCTCGTGTCAAATTTCAAATTTATTCTTATCCTCCGTAAACTCAAAGATACATATTTATTTCCTGTTTTAACCCTTGAAAGAAAAAAAAAGTTTAATGTCTATTATTTTCTAAGTACTTTCCATTCAAATGATATATTTTGTTGTTGTTCTTGAACTAGAATTGGGCAAAGGGAGGGGAGTGAAAACTAAGGGTAATAATAAGCCAAGAATCACTTACTGACCACTAGTTTTTCTTACACAGTTTGGTAACATTCTAAATTATCTGAATCTGATGTGTTTCAATCTTTAAAAGACTCAGTGGTCTATATAAGTTATTAGTAATCCAAATCTCGGGTTTAACTTGCCTCCTCTTGAATCACTGCCCACATTCAATTCCTACTAAATAGGGGTTAAAGGTCACTTGAGTCATCTGCAAGTAATCTTTCAGCCTACTTAGTTCTGCAAAGTGATTTGGAATAAAATTTGAACACTTACAAAGATTAGAAAGTGATTGAGTAAGGCTGTTTGTTAAGTTTTATTTACATTGGAATGACCTAAATGCATTTATTAATAGTTGATTTAAAGAGGATGATTTAAAAATTTTCCCATAGAAAATTTTGCCTTTTAGTTTTTTTAAACACGATTGATTGAATTTGGGAATACTATCTGGCTTCATAATTATGTGAAAACAAGTTAGTTGAATATTACTGCTTTTCATGTTCATATATGTATGTGTGTGTATACATACACACATAAATACCATGTTTTAATACCTTTTCAAAAAGGAAAATAGAACTTAGGGCAAATTTAATGAATGTTCAAAAATATCTTTTGCTGATTGAACTATTCTGCTTTAAACCTTTGAAATGCTTAACAAAAATTTAAATGACTTAGATTTGCTATTACAAAATGCTGGGGGTTTTTTTGATGTAGCAAGTATTATACACTTTAAATATATTCAGTGGCCAGAGAGAATTTCTTACAAGTATAATAAGAAAGGAAATGATGAAATATCTCTGCAACCATGCTATATGAGGGTAGGAAAAATGTGGGCAGTTCCAAAGTTGAAAATAGAGAATAAATGCAGATTTATATTACCGTAATTGGAATTCTCGACAGTTAAAACTGGCTGAACTCCGGCAGAAGCCCATGTAACTACTGCTAGCAGAGGCACAAATTTGGGGTAATAGTAATGGTAAGAATAATAAAAACAAGACCACCAACAATACTAATGGCTAACATTTATTGATTTCTTACTATGTTCCAGGTATTGTTCTAAGTGCTTTACACGAGTTATTTCACTTAATCATCCTATAATTTTGTGGCATAGACACAAATGAGTAAACTGAGGCTTAGAAGGTTAGATGATTTATAAGGCAGTGTCAGAGCCTGTATTCAAGCTCACGCATGGCTCTGACTCTAGAGTACTTAACACCAAGTTTTCAAAATGTTAAAAAGTTTATAATTTCCATTTGTTCTTTCCACACTTAAAATAGAAAAATGACGTTATTATACGGTCCTTTCCTCTTTTCAGGCATTTCCCACAATACTTTTCAAGAAGACATATGATTCAGCGTTATAGATCTGAAAAAGAAAAGTACATTAAGATCAATAACCATTATCTTTATGAGTTTATTGACTAGTTAAAAAGACATGCTATATGCATTGGCTGTTGTTTTACCAGAATTTAATAATTTGTTATATAGACCATTGTTTTTACACACCAATATAACTGAAATTCAATACCCATATTCCCATTTATTTATAACCCGAGCTAGATTGTAACATTACTAATAAGGCAAAGGTGGGAAGTGAAAAAAGCTAGTATTAAGTGGAGATATATATGCAATGTTTCTATGTTAAGCTCAAAATACATTCTTTTTACTGACAAGATTGAAATGTATGCTTCCAAAGCCAAAAAGCGATTGTCTTATTCAGGAGCTTGCAAAGTCATGATAGCAAACAGGTAATACTTGGCCACCAGCATATCCAGTTAAGTCCGGTTCAGAGCTCTTGCCTGGGATTTAGTGGGGGTATGAAAAATCCCTTTTTCCAGTCCACACAGAGAACTCACTTCCTGTGGGTTAAGTCACAAACTGAGGGGTCGTCTTCCTCTATCTCCACCTTTTTTGAATACATCTAAGATTATTTTTGGCTTGTTTAGAAACAACAAGTAAAATAAAAGACTACCTAAAGCCGTTTTTCCTAATCTGCCCCTGAAATTCAAGTTTATGCTCTTTAATTAAAGCCACTTATACCTATTTTTAAGTGCTTAAAATAATTTCGTATTTTAAGATTTCCCTGCTACTTTACCTCCTTTGAGAGGTTTACACAGATAGGAACTTGTCATACATGTATTTTTTGCATTCACTTAGTAATCAAACTTCATCACAATAGCTCAGCGGACAACAAGCGTACCCTTCCACCCTTCCATTCTCTTGCAAAGAGCATGGTCGGCGACGTGGCCCGTGGCTGGGTAACCTGGCAAGAAAGACTCCATTGTAACACATCTGAGCAAAGAGACCAACGGGTTTGCTACCTTGACTCGAACAGTCTGCTCTTTTGAACTGGGACTCGCTAGAGCTGGCAGCTAACCTGCACAGCACAGCCCAGCCTCTGGGGAGAAAAAGAGCAGGAGGCTTGCTGCACCGAGAACAGGAAATGTGATGCAGACATGGGACCCACAAACTGAAATCCCTTCTCAGCAGCGCCTCCCAAAGTCAACCACTGCCTTCCCAGCGCAGGGTCCCCAGACCACGCTGGCCGCACCCCAGCTCCTTTCTCTTCCCTCCGCAGCTGCACACAGACGAGCACGTGAGCGCGGTAGCGCGTCCCAGCTGTGCCTCAGCTGACCGATTCCTGATTGGATGAGACGGACGTGGGCTGGGGTGGGGCCTGGTCGCCTGCGTCCCTCGCCATTGGCTTTCAGGGAACCCGCCTCCCCCTCAGGTGAGGCGGGCTTGCGGGTGGGCGCGCCCCCGACATTCTCCTCCCTGCCCGCCCGCGCGCCCCCGAGCGCGCCTCCGCCCCTGCCCGCCCCCTGCCGCTGCCTCTGCTCCATAGTGCACAGAGCCGCCTAGTCTGAGGGGACGCGAAGATCGCCCTCGTCGCCTCTTGAGCCAGTCGTCGGGCTGGGCCTTGACAAGCAGCCCGAGGGAAGGCTCTTCTGAGCCCAGCCTGGAGTCCTGCTATTGTCGCCTGCTCCTCCTGCCTCTGATCTCACGAGGGGTTTCGCACCTCTGGACGTGCCTTTCCTCTCCCCGTGTGTGGAGGGAGCCAGCGTTTAGGCCGAAGCGAGCCTGGGGGGCGACGGCCGTGAAGGTATCGCGGCGACCGACTCGCCATGGAGGGCGCCGGAGGCGCGAACGACAAGAAAAAGTAAGCCCGTGCCCTTCGCGGGCACCCCAGTCTGCCCGCTGCCCCGGGCTCGCGGGCCGGCCTCGGCGTTACGGGGGGCCGCCTTTTTGTTTCTGCCTCTTCTCCCTTCCCCTCTCTCTCCCCCCAACCTCGCGGGCCGGGCTCCCCCTCTGTCCACGTCGCCATCTTGTTGTGGGGGGCGGGAGGCGCATCGAAAGCGCTTTCTGGGGCCGGGGGCTGGGCGCAGCTCGCCTTCCCTTCCCGGCCGCCGGGGCCTCGCACAGCCCTTCTTATCCGCCTCAGAAAGCCAGCTTGCCCTGTGCCCCGGTTCGGGTGGACTTCCCCTAGCCTGAAACCCTGGGAGAAAAAATGAGCCACGGCTCGATCGCCGCGGTTTGTAGCGAGCTTCCGCTCCTTCCCGCCCCCAACCTCTCCGGTTCCATAGAAAACTCGGCCCCGGGGCGGACCCTGCACTCAGGTCTTGGCTTCCCAGTGGGCTCGCGGCCCTGGGTTCCCGAACGAGGAGCTCGCGTGGTCGGACGCGATCCTGCCCCGAGTAGTCCAGCCGCGGCGGGTGTCTGCCTTTGTGCATTAGGGATTTGCCGCGATGGCTTGAAGATGGTTAACTTTTTAGTTTGCACGTGCAGGTTTTGGTGTGTTTTAATCGCCTTGAAAAAGTTTCCGAGACTAAGAGTCGGACTAACGGGAATTTGGAGAAATAGCAACATTTTAAAGAGAACATCAGAATTGGATACTTGAGTTTCTCTCACCTGTCATGATAACCCAGACATTACAAATGAACATGTGCCTCATTCTTGAAAGTATTTCAGTGAAAATGTAGCGGCTTTTTCTATTTAGGCAAACATTTTTAATGACATTGAAAAACAGTATGTCATCAAAGCAAATAAAATGCATCATTAAAATTTTTAGAAGTCTTATTTTCCTAAAATTGAAGTATATTGAGAAAAAAAGTTCAAAATATAGTCGAAGTAAATAATCATTGTTAAACTTAATGCAAGTTAAAAAAAAACAAACCAGAAACCAAAAAACCTTGAAGGTCTAAGTGGTATATCGCAAGATTAAGAATTGTTAGTTGGACCGGTGGAATTGAGTGACTCCCCCGACCCCTACATAAACAGTTTAATCCACTTTGGTGTTTTAGCCTTTGAGGAAATCATTTTAAGAAATTGAAGATTATTTATAGGAGTTACGGTTAGTCCAGTCGATTGGCTTTACTGGTAAGTCCTTCCCTTCTTCAAGGAGAGATTAATGTCCCTAATTAGTGTCAGCAAAAGATAAACTTGTTTATGTTCTTTCTATTTTGTAGGTCCCTTTTTGGTTGTTATTCAATGAATGATACATTCTTAGTTTAACACCAGAGAAAGCATTTATAAAATTCAAAAAGTGACTAAACAGGTTTAGACTTAATTCCAAGAGTTGCCAGTAATAAATTGCAATTAATTTTGCAGAAACGATTACAGTGCTTTTGATGAAATGATGTGGCTATTATATCGTAAACCTGAAGCAGATTACCTTCGTGTAGTGCCAATTCTCTGTCCTTTTTATATGCTGAATCATACATACATTATACTGTACATCAAGTTATGCACCAATCACTTCCTTTTCATAGGCAATATTGTAATCATTTCCCCTTTGCAATTCATCAGTTGAGAATATCATAAGCAGCTTTAATATAAATGAATTAATTAGCTACTATGCATCACCCCAATGCTAAACTAGTTCTTAGATTTTCCTCAGTCCCATCTGTTTAAAATTTTTCTCATTTGAAAATTTAGCAAATTTGGATCAAATTGAATATTTCTTAATATAGAAAAATTAAGTTAAACACCAAATAAATGGTGGCTGTACAACAATTCTAATTAGATGCTGTTTGTTAAAAATGTCTGGTTTTTGTCCTTTTCTAAGCAATAATTTTTAAGCTTTTTGAAAAGATAAACAGATTGAGGGACAGGGATTTTCTATTTCCTTACAATTTTCCGTTTTAAATAAGCCAGGATTTGGGTGAGGGACACAAACTTGTCTTTTTTTAATGAAAGTCTAGCACCTGGCTGGTGTAGCTCAGTGCATTGAGTGCTGGCCTGTGAACCTAAAGGTCGCTGGTTCTATTCCCAGTCAGGGCACATGCCTGGGTTGAGAGCAAGGTCCCTGGTTGGGGGTGTGTGAGAGGCAGCCAACTGGTGTTTCTGGCATTGGTGTTTCTCCCTCTCTTCCCTCTCTCTGAAAATAAATAAATGATTTTAAAAAAGGAAAAATAAAGTCTAGGAAACTCATAGCTGAAGGATTGGAAGAAATCAGAACAGAGGATGGATATGGTTATAATAGATTTAATACAGGGCCTTTGATGTTGATTCCTTACGGGTAAGGGCTGGCTTTATTTAGTAGCACATTGGTATAGATTTTTAGATTTCAAAGGAATGTCAAAAGGTCCATTGTTCGGTTTCAGGTTTCAGACCATACTCCGTCAAAGTTTTCCAAAACAGTTAATGGATCATTAAAGTAAAATCTCTGAGAATGAATATTCCTTAACTTCCTCTTTAATTTAGGTCATTAAAAGCCAAGAAGCTCTCTAGTTTATTAGTGACATTTTTCTTGTTAGATTTTTACTTTTATTTTCCACTTGTTTGAAGACCAGCCTGCCAGGTGGTTAAGAGCATAGGATCTAGAGCCAGACACCTCTTAGTCAGTCCAGCCTTTTCACTTCGTTAACTTTGTGAGCTTGGGCAAATTGCTGAATGCTTCTGAGCCTATGTCCTCTTTTTGAAATGATGATAATAATAGCAGCCAAGTTAACAGTTATTGTGAAGATTAAATGAGATTATACCCAGTGCCTGGTTTAGGCGTCTTGGTAACACTTGAAAATAAGCATTTAAATTAGAACCTGTTAAAGTTCTAGTTTAAACTTCCACGCTTAAAAACTCTTTTTGCAAGTTTTTCCAAGTATTTATTTATTTTAGTTCTTCTCATCACCTCATCCATCTTTTTTATACCTCCTAAAAATGAAGAGACTAATATTGGATCCAGAGCTTTAAAAGGGATTCTGTCTGGTTAAAAGAGTACATTCCTAGGTTATGTTGGCATTTAACATCAATTATTCTTCTTGAGCATCTGATCTACCATCTATTCTAGGTTCCCTTCACAATTTCTTACCCCTTATCTCCACCCCAAATAGGTTACTTTGAATTTACTCTGGAGTTTAGAGACTAGAGTCATAAACACATTCTAGTCATACAGATCATTTCAGCAAGGTATTGTGCAAGGCACTGCAGTCAGGACTGGCAGTAACTTAAAACATTTTTGTCTTACTGTTATAGTTTAAACAATTTTATAAATACTAATCTTTGCTAAAACATGAGTTGATAAAGTATCTATTCCCAATAAAGCATATGAACCTACATGGTAGAAAAACTGTCCTTTGCTTAAGGATTTCTGCATTTAAGACCATTGGCTTCCACCTCAAGGCAAAGCTTCAAGCATGTCTTGTTAGTCTAATTTTGGGGGCTTGATTTGTATGAAATCTCTATTAGTGTACTCTTCCACATGTGTGTTTGCTGATGCATGTTGTTTTAGACGGATAAGTGTGGTGGTTCATTCCTGTGGTCTTACTGTAAAGCATTTTGTGCATTTTGGAGGTTGAATTTTCTAATCTTTCTTCATGTTGATTTCCATTGTCTTTGCAGTTTTGTTGGTGTTTACACTCAAGGTTAAGATTTTTGTGGTTATGTTTTGTTGTATGTTAGGAATGGTGTCTAGGAGGCTTAGGGAGATTACTCTCTCAACTGATATTAATTAATTAATTAATTTATGAGCTTGTAGTAATTTGTGTTTGGTGTGAGATTAAAAACTTATACATAGATGTTAAAGAGTTGGGTTAGATTACTGTGCTTGTTTATAGATGTATCTTAAAATATAATAAATTTATGTACTTTAAAAAGATTAAAATCTTATCTAATATTGTTAACATGTCTGTTTCTCAGCTAAGAAATCAAGTTAAATGTGTTGTTGGATTACTTTTCTATTAAGTTGATCTTTATTAAAAAGAGCAGTCTCTTTTTTTCCTTTTTATTTCTTCCTCTTTTTACTTTTTTAAATGTTGGGACTAATTATCTGGTTGATGGATTTTACCCAGCCTTCTGCTACTTGTGTATGTTTTCTGCTTAAATACAGGATTAGAAAAAGAATTTGAAACTAAGATAAGCCAATCTTCTTGTTGCTCAGTGTTTTTGGTAAAAGTGTGATGAGGATTTTTAAATTAACTATATACAGGTGTTGGAATTTTAAAAATAATTGTAGTCTTGTATGTCTGTTGGGGCATGAAGAATTAACTATTTTTGTATGTGCATTGAGTTTTATATTAAAATTTGATTTTTCTGCAATAAAAATAAATAAAACCATATCTACTTGCCAGACATGACCCTTCTGGAAAAAATATGTAAAATCTAAATTTAATTGTGGTAAAAAGAAAAACCCATAAAATTTCCCATCTTAATCATTTCTTAATGTACAGTTCAATAGTGTTAAGTATATTCACACTGAAGTGTAACCAATCTCCAGAACTTTTTCATCTTGTAAAACTGAAATTCTATAACCATAACAATTACACTCTATTTAACCCTCCTCCTCATCTCTGGCAACCATCACTCTGCTTTCTGTTTTTGTGAATTTGACTACTAAATATCACCTATTAGTGGAATCATACAGTTTTTGTGACTGGTTTATTTCACTTAGCATAATGTCCTCAAGGTTAATCTATGTTGTAGCATGTATGAGAATTTTCTTCCTTTTAAGACTGAATAATTTTCAGTTGCATGCCACAATTTTGCTTATCTATTCATCTTTCCATGAACACTTAGGTTGCTTCCACCTATTGGCTCCTGTGAATAGTGCTGCTATGAACATGAATTTACAAACATCTAAGATCTTGATTTCAGTTATTTTGAAATCCCCCAAAGTGGGGTTGCTGAATCATAGAGTAACTATTTTTTGTTTTTGAAGGAATCGCC